CTCTGATGATTGTACATATTGTCATAAGGGCCTCCTGTAAAGTGCAAACTATGAGTCATTGCAAGGACAGGTTAATTTAAATTGGACATCTGATCACACTGAGACCTTTCAATAATTGTGTGGCATGCACTGTTAATTCCTAGTGGTGTTTGTTTCAACCTTAATAGGATTAGCATATTATAAAATACATTCTACAGAATTGAAAACTGAACTTTACAATGAGGTAAGAAGACTTGTGCTCTTTAAGGAAAGATGTCACAAATATGTCACACTGCTGTAGCCCTGTTATAGCACAGCTGCTTGCTGTGTCATTCCTCTCATGCTCACATCCCTGACCTCATAAACACTGGCTGTGGCAATGTGTGTATGTGCACGTGTGGAAAAGTGAGGTTAGAAGGTCAGAAGGTCAGAAAGGGAATGAGAATGTGTGAAAGTGAAAGAGAGAGAGAGATGAGTGACGGACAATCCGGAGAAAAGTCGTCCTTTGGCATTTTATCCTTCCACCGGAGCCGTCCAGGATGTTAACTGTACTCACTGGAGCACCGATTTCCCAAGATACATCATGTCAGGAACAAGGTGCATTATTCAACTCCACAAAGCAGCCTCTCTGAGGTGTTTACTGCAGGAAACAAAGTAGTCAGCATTTAGAAACTGCTACAGGGGCTTGAACTTGTGAGACTCTTCGGTGTGGCAATGTGGAAAAATATTTGTCACGATAACCAAAAACAAATCTCCATTACAAGTACACAGCATTATTACCACCGTGTTTGTAAGTGTATGTTAAGTTAAACTTGTCTTTGAATTTGTGCTGTATTCTCATTAATCTCTCAGAGATAAATCTTTAGCAAATTTGTGTGATATCCACGAAACAATCACAAGAAATGTCTACACCCCTTTCATAAAGACCTCTTTCATAAGTTACCCTTTTGATCAAGTTAAAACCATAGACTGGTTAAACCCGATGAATACCAAGACTGATTGCTACAACTATCTGATTGCCTGGCAGAGAGGTAAGGCCTCTTCACATGTCCATCTCAGATTCTTGAGCACAAAGAAGACACATCATATTACCAAATGTAAGATCAGACATCAATGATTGATGGTCCCAATACTAACATTGATAATGTTTATGTACTGGCAATAGATATATTCTACTTAAGGAGCAAATAACTGTCCTTTCTTACATAGACTCAATGTACTGAGACATCTTAATTTAAAACTTTTTCGGGATGGTACATACAATGAAGCTGTGATTCAAGTCTGACCTTCTATATAATTTGTATTTGTCTGACCATATTTGACCAAAGAGCAAGTAAATCAGTAAAAATATCAGTCCTTTTGAGAAGGATTTCCTTAAATGATTCTATATGCCCTGTATATGCACGGGGTCTTATATCCTGCAACAGCTTACCGCAACAAGGAGCATCGTTTAAATCTCCGCTAAAAACTCATTTTCACAAACTTGCATTTCTGCAGTGGGTGTTCAGCCGCTTTGATCTTCCTCTTTTTGAACAATGGGAGCTAGCACCGAAGCCCCCTCTAAGCCTGCCGCCCTCTCCCTCCCAACTTTCCTACCCCTCCATTGTCCTCAGATCATATTCAGTGAACTCTCATTACAGGGGAGGTAATAGACTCTTCAGCACTAAGATCCTCTTTATTATCCGTCTGCTGTGGACTACATCTCTAAGCTGATTAGCCAGAGCTGCCTTTTCAGCATTTCAATTACGAACATGTTGAATAGTCAAGCAGATTGCCTGCCTTATATTCATTTCTGAAATTCTTAGAGTGCTACGCAATGTCAAAATGGGAGTAATCCAAGAAACACATTGCAGCAGTGAGGATAAAAGGGCAACAGAAGAATGACATCATGGCAGATTGTAACATTGAACTCACAGGGAAATGGAAAAAGTAGCTTTTAACAGCAATCCAAAGGAATTTACACCAGCAGGGAGGCATGCCGTCTTAGTGTAAGTGGCCCAGCTGGCAATCTACTGTCATACACACACACAGAGAATGTGTGGCGTACTTCAAAAAACTAAAAGAGACACAAAAAAAAAAAAATTATGACCATCATCATTCATTACTGTTCAATTAAAACAAGAAATGAGCTTAGAGGACAACTATAGCTTCCAGGTGTAGACGGTTTAATTTAAGATGATATCTCTATTCTTGTTTCTGTTCTTAATTGTGAAGCACTTTGTGAAATTCGATTTCTATGAAAGGTGCTATAATAAATAAACGTATTATTATTATTATTATTCGCTTTAGCTTTGGTCAAAGTTATCTACATCTGCTTTGATATAACTGACTGCTCTGAGAGGACTGGAAAAGTGTAAGAACTGATACATGTGTCAATCAGAGTGGGGTAATGAGAAGCTGGCTCTTTAACAGCCACCTAAAAGAACGCGACATATTGCCCAGCGGGCTGTGGTCACCTACATTCTTAATCTCACTGTTAGACTGTCCCTGTTCCCGTCATTTCAGAGCAGCTTGTTGAGAAGAAGTCCCACATAGGGGACCTCATGTCTGGGAAAGAGTAAGAGAAGAGGAAGTGGGAGAGGGGGGGGGGGAATTGAGGGAGAAGTGCGGATGGATGAGGTTGTGACTCCTAGCGCTAATGGATTTGCGTCAGATGACGATAATATGATCTGCTCAGTGCTGTGTGTGTGTGTGTGTGTGTGTGTGTGTGTGTGTGTGTGTGTGTGTGTGTGTGTGTGTGTGTGTGTGTGTGTGTGTGTGTGTGTGTGTGTGTGTGTGTGTGTGTGTGTGTGTGTGTGTGTGTGTGTGTATGTGTGTGTGTGTGTGTGTGCTCTACATATGGAGTGCATGGTTATGTGATGTCATTGGCAGTCGAGCCAAAATATGATGATCTCGGGGTATTATCGGTATCTGTTTAAGGTATCCGGCTTTATCAAATACCCACTTGACACAAGAGTCATCGTGTTTTATCATTCTGTCTCTATCTGACTCTCTCCCTAATCCATTCAGTCATTGTTAATCCAGCTGTGTGCTGGTACACAAATGTGCTGAACATGGCTGTGAACCGCGTCACTGAGGTGTGGATGTCATACCTGTCTGTGTTTTTGTAGCTTACTTTATGATTGCTGTGAGCCACACAGTGACACATGCAGTGCTTTTACATTTCACATTATAGCACACTGATGCCCCTAAGTGGAGCTCATCAATGTCATATGTGCACGTCTCTACTCTGAGGTTAAGTGTTCTCGTCATGTTCTCAGTTGAATTACTTTGACAAAGAGGCCATCGTCCCTTGGAGCATCACTGTGACAGAGGAGGACAGAGGAAATAAGAGATACAGTCGTAAACTCTTGTTTCTGAAGTCGTCATTTGTCAGAGAACAACTAAAGTGGGGAAACTAGTCAGTCATTCGACCCTCTGACAGAAAGAAAGTAGTTTAGAGGTTTGAAATAATCTAATATGTGTCATATTTGACTCACAAACTGATTCAGATATCAAAACAACAATACAATGTTTGGATCAAAAACATACCACCAACTAATTTGATCTACTTTTCATCTTTTTGTCTGTTTAGCAGGTTTAATGCTGAGCAGCTGATTGCTTTATGTGGACAGCGCTACATGTATTTTCTTGCACAATAGCCTTTACACAATAGCTAAGGCATTCCTTTAATTTGGATGACATAAAACAATTTAGTATTTTACTAGTTATAGTGATTAAGCAGCAGAGACGCATTTCAACTTTAAACTCTGTTCCTAGCAGAGTGGATTTTTAGGAGTTTCATTAGAAACTAGAGGGTAGTCTGTTCTCATGATGCCCAGATTAGGATTTGACAGCTTGTGGAGAGTGGTTGGTGTGGGAGTGAAATGGATCAAGAGACAAACACTGAGAGTGTAGAGACTCATCCAGAGATTTAAACAAGTACAGACGAAAAGCAAATATACAAAGGTATGAGGAAGGGGAAGAGATCATGGATCAAGACCCATTAGAAGGAAGGAGCAGTCATATTGAGATTGAGAAGAGGAAGGAGAAGAAAAGGTGATGGAGATTGAGAGCCTGAATGGGAGGGGAAGTGAGGCATCACAATTAAAAGATGCAGCTGCGACGGATCATCGTAATATATAGAGAAAACAGGAAGAGGAAATGCAATGGTGTATAAACTAGAGTGACGGATATAGGGAGAGATGCTGAGCACTAAAACGTAGTAGAGGAGACAGCAGATGGTGGGGATTATTCTGGACTAAAATACTCTGGGATCTACAGAGGGAAGGACGCAGACATAAACCGTTACAGACTCCATCTGCCAGAAATAGACCAAAAAGAGCTGTATGTCCACCATCAGCATAATGATCAAATGCTGCCTAGATGGCAAAACCCTAAACGGCTATAAACAACAAATCTCAGTTTAGATAATGCTGCTATTACTCTTGTGTTTTTAGTAAAACAACAATTGGGAGGGATATGATTTTTTTTAGACTTAACCTAAACACATACTGCATGCTATAACTAACACATAATATTACACATTGACATAATCTAGATCATTTATTTAGGGAGTGGTATGGCTCACTAGCTAGAGTGGCCTTATCACCATTAGGCAGTATGAATGTGTGTATGAATGTGTGAATGTGGGCATGTGTTGTAAAGCACTTTGAGTGCTCTGCAGACTAGAAAGGCGCTATTTACAGTAGAGGCCGTTACCATTTTGCAGCAGGTGCAAGTGTACTAAAGTATTGAAGGATTTGTTTGTGTGTGATTATAGCTGATACTATAAGACACCCCTAATCCAGATTTTATGTTCACCATGATTAGGATAACAGGCTGCGCTAAATATGTGTGTGTGCATGTGTTCATTGGAAAAAAAACGACAAACTGGTTCACAAATCTCCCCAGTAATGCTCTCAATATCCATCCACCCACAGCCTGAACACACAGTCTACATTTTAATGCCTGCCAATCAAACCACCCCATCGCCTTTTGCATGCAGAGAAAAATCTGGAAAAGAAAGACTTTTTTTTTACCTTTCCCTGTGTGTAGATCAAACCTTGAACCTGCAGGGAAAAAAAGAAGAAAACATAATTACTGTTGTGTTTCGAGTGGGGCTGAGCAGATCATACAGTGTGCTACAACACTGATGAAGCAATTTAAAGAAAAATAAACAACATTATCTTCTCTCCTCTTTTCTCAATACTCCTCTATCATTGCCTATTGAGCCGTGTCACTCAAGACTTCCCTGCTGCAGCTAGTCATTGTGAGTACATGTTAACCTCAGCATTAGTGAGAGCATGGCAAACAAATTGACTTACTCTTTGTGTGTTTGAAAGAGAGTGTCTGTGTTATTGACAAATTATCTAACCAGACAGGGGACAGTTAATTAAATCCTTCCCGGGCACTGAGCTTAAAGTCATTATTGTGACTGGTTGCATAGCCACCAAAAAAATCAACATGTGCCAAGTACAAAACAAATACATAAACATACTGTATGCACTCCTTTAACAGAGACAGACACACAAAAAGCATTTCTCCTTCATGCCTGCTCAAATTGCAAACTGGCACCACATGTTTGCATCTTCACCTTGTAGTGATAGCATGCATAACAAAAATCGTAAATCTTTCCATTACCATAAGCTGTGTCAAATAGCCTGTGTGCCCAATAAAATAACTTTCTCTGCCAGGCAAAATAAAATCAGATGGCGGCTGAATTTGCCTCAATTGACTTCAATCTGACAGGCTGCCAATATCATCTTTACTGCCATCGTCATTACAGTTGGCAGCAATGACCACATTTGACTTCTGCTCGTATAGCGGCAGCAAACTAAACTTTCTATGTTTCAAATGTTACAATATTAAAGAATAAAGTATGTTACAGATTACTGCATGGCCATTTCAAATACATGTTTAAAGTGAAGAGGTTTGATAATACCCAGTGTCCACAGAGGACATAACAGAAAATACTTTGCAGATACATTTGCATCTTCATTTTGATACATAATAAATAATAGATTCACTGGGAATTATTATTAATGTTTTATACGCCTCCCAGTGCCAAACTCTACCTACTAACACTGCCAGTAGTAAATTCCCCAAAAGAACATTTTCTACCCATTTCCCCGAAGCACTCTACCCTCAATTACTGTATTCCAGTCTGAAGCAGATGCCCTGGAACCAACCATCTCATGTGTGGATGATGACCTGTTGTCTAGTTGGTTTTACACGTGCTAACAGATGCTCGCATTATCTGCTGCCTGATAAGGATCTGCTCAGCGGGATGGTCCAGCGCTGGCTGCGAATGATCAGTAACATTTTGCAAAGCTACAGTGAGTGTCATCAGCGATAAAAGCTTTTTGCCACGTTGGAACCACTTGACATGGCTTCTCATGGGAAAACATGCATTCAGCTTTCGATTTAGATTACAATCTCTTTGCTTTCCTAAATAACAGTACATACTCAATACTCCAGGCATATATTAGTAACATATGCCAGGATTTATAATAGATGTTTGTTGAACAATCAGTCTTCTTTTTATGTAATGCACAATCAGAAATACTCTATTCCCCCCACAGAGGGGAGACTACACTCCCTCATTGTTATGCACTGTAGTTTCTTTTATGGAATCGTGAAAAGAGGAGAGTTGGGCAGTTAGGCATGTCCTGTGCCGGAAAACCTTTAAATCTCTCAAGCAGAGAAGAAACTGACCACCGAGTCTACAGGAAGCCTGGAAACAACAGAGCTGCTGTGGCATACAAATCAGCTTAACAAAGTGTTTCATTAACACACACACACACACACACACACACACACACACACACACACACACACACACACACACACACACACACACACACACACACACACACACACACACACACACACACACACACACACACACACACACACACACACACACACACACACACAGTGTCTACAAGTCTATGTCTGGGGTTTTAATCCAAAATATATTAAATCACATGATCAAATCTCATTTAGCCATACCGTAAACAATCATTGTATTTGTCCTCATGTTACCTTTTCAACACAACCAATGCCTCAGCATTATGGTTTTCATGTTAGCTGTTAATATAACATTTTGTAGAGCGCAGAGTGCTTATAATCTTTGAAACATATGATCATGTGCTCGGTCCTATTACACCCCCTCGATGTGTGACAAGATCAAAACTCACACGAGGAAGGCCTTGTACTTGTTTACCCATGTCTTCACGTTAGATTCCTGAGGTTCAATGTTAGGATTTTGAGTTTCTTCACAATGCATTCAATGTTAGAAAGAAAAAGCACACAGTGATAATAGCCTATATTTTCCGCATGAGCTGGCTCTGGGAGCAGACGTGTAAGCTGAGGTTGACGCTGAGCCTGACTGATCCTTTTCATCTGCTGACAGACTCATCAGCAGAACCTTTACACTGTACGGCCTAAGTGTCCTGCACTCGAAGACCGAGACGAGCGATCATTTCATCAGTTGTCGAGCAGCGTGGCCTCACCACTCTCATTCATAAAGGTTAGCCAGCTGGAGCAAAGGCTCATAGTCGATCCCTGTCTCCAAAAAAGTTGTTTTAATACAACTAAACTGATCCCACAAATATGTTTCATTAAAACCTGTTAAGCCCCAAGCCTGTTTTTCAGGTCTCAGGCTCGAAAATGACATTTCCAGAACAAATGACCATATCTTCCCTTCTAAAAAGGGGAAAATTAATAATCTTTTTTCTCAAAGTAATGATAAACCTGTGAGTTGGATGTAGAAGAGTCAGAATCAATATAGATGTTTTTTATTTTAAAGAAAATTCAGATTGAACATAGTAAAAAACTGTAAATTATAGTGTCCGTCCAAAAATTCTTTTTTACTTATAGTGAAAACTACCCTTGAATGATGGTAAGGTAGACTAAAAGCGTTAGGAATCCAAAGTACAACATATAATGAGTACCCTGTATCAAGATTGATGCAAAACAAGTTAAATTTGACCTTTTTAGAGAGATTTAGCCAAAAAAACCCACTTCTGGGGTCATTTGGGTGGATTTGACCTATCTCTGGCGCCCCTTGGTCGATTTTGATGATTGACATCTCTTTTTAACCTCTAGAGCCAATGGAATCGAGGGAAAGTTCCACATACACACACAGGTTAACAAATAAGGAGTGAGATTGACGCGTAGCCAAAACCGGAGCTGCGACACACTCTGGTGGCTACCATTAGCAGCATATTTTTATTCTCCGATTTTTACATTAAAATTGAATTATGGATTATCAATATTTTGTTCAAAGTGACAGACACATTGGATTAACCTATGGATTAACCTTCAGCCGCGTTTTTTCTCGTTTTAATGCCATTGAACACGACTTTTGATCAGAATAACAGCTAAGGTGAGCATATCTCCGTGTTTTGCTACCTAAAGCTACGTCGTGTGTTGTCTGTATTTGCTTCCCCTGTCACGAGTTCTGATCGCTCAGTGATGATACTTATATTTCTATAATCTGTGGACTCTCAGGATGTTAGCTAAGCTTGTTTGTGCAGATCCAATAAGTATATCGATCGGTATAGCTAGAGTTCTGTGCTAACGGCGTTAAGATTGTTTCGCTCAGGGCTGATTCAGAGGCTCAGCGTTAGCCTTGTGTTTTATTTTGCTAAAAATGGTTCATATCATCAGTTAGCTGAGTTTCTTCCCGTTACATGGATATGAAACATTCATAGTTTATTAAATATTAAGAAGCCCTCAGCCGCTGTTTCCTGCAGATTATGCGTTTTTCCGCCCGGGGCCGGGGGGATGGGGCTTAACATTGCATGGTGTTCATGTAGAAAATTCTTATTTTATTTTTTATTTTCAGAAGTCCTTTGTTTTATCCAAATCAACCTGCTCCCTTTGCAGATTTCCACACACTTTGACTGTAAACAGAAAAAGACAACGCAGATATGTAGTATGGGAACGTATGTGTTGTTCTGGAGAAATACCAGAAAAGTATATGTACACATTAAATGATTCAATGGTTGAGATATCTGACAGAAATATATCTGAAGAAAATGCCCCTCCCTTAATGACCTGGTTGGGAAAGGACTGAATTAATGATTGGTTGAGGAAACCTCTCATATCAGAAATAGCGGCAACCAGTAACACTCAAAGCAGAAAGTGCTTTTAAATGAATGCCATGTATCGTTTCCTAGAGTGACTGCGTCCAAGAACAAACAAGCTAAAATACACATTTGACATGTAATCAACAGACTGTATAGTTTCCTGTCTGAATGCCATTATGCTCCATCTAACTCTCCCAGTAAAACGGTATGATTAGTCACTGCGTGAGTCCACACCGAGCAGGTTGAATTTAATCTCAACCTCTGAGGCACTTTACAGGATATTTCAAACCATTACACAAGCTCAACAATTTGCGGTGGCTGCCAAGCGCCTTCAAGGGAATGTCAGTTTCCATGGAGACCAAGCCACCAAAGCTGTAGGCCAGTCTATCGCCACGAGTCAAAAGAAAATAACAGTAAAATCCCACTGATGGGCACATATCAAAAACCCTTTGTGTAATTGTCTCTCGTGTACTGTCTTTTTTTCCTCCTGACATCCTAGTTATTTCTTAATCTTTACTCTCAAGCATCTGCCCCTGCGTTCGCCCATGTTAATAATTGCACACTTGCATTTCCTTGGCAGGTTCACTCAAACCCTGGAGGCATTTGAGGGAGTTAATGGAAAGATGTTTCATTTTAAAGAAAGTTGTAGAGTGGGAAACTAAGTCAGAAGAGGGAAACCTAAATCAATAAATAACAAAACATTTGTTTTGACAGTAGTTTTACTTGGCTGTTTAACGCTCCTGCCAAATGTAACCAAGAACAATGGATCAGAGTATGTGTATAAAAGGGGTTCCTCACAACGAAAACCTAGTTCGCCTACAGAGGGTTTTTAGCTTCTCTCAGCTCATTGCCCCCGCCAGGGAACTTCACATTGCTGTCGATGGGAGCGGCTGGTCCAAATAAATAAGACTAATAACCAATCAAGTTGAAAAGAAGATTAAAGCAGACCATGAACAACTCCCTGGATACAAAGT